AAATTCGCACTAAATTGTTTGAGAGAACTCTGATTTTCATGCTCGTCGCTATCGTCAGGCACAAACTGAAAACTTAATTTTCAATTCTGTGACGAACAAATGTATATCTATCATTCGCATATATATGTGAGTTTTTTCGTATATATATATATACATACATATATATATATGTGTGTGTGTGTGTGTGTGTGTGTGTGTGTGTGTGTGTGTGTGTGTGTGTGTGTGTGTGTGTAGTGCAGAGGCGCAAACGTACGCTGAAATAAATGCACACATTGGGCGAAACACAACTATGAATACAAACGAGCGATTATATTTATCAGCTTATGTAACTGAACATTTTACGCATGCGCAAACAGTATGCAGACAAAATAGTTTCACGACGCTTATCACAAATAGATTAGGTCAAGCTGGTCGATTACACGATAAAACGGTTGTCGGCAGATGAAAGACGATTAAGCGAAACCTTATTGTTGATGATGATGATGATCATCATCATCATCATCCTGATCATGATCATTACATTGTTGTTATATTGGAACGTATCTTAAACACTAGATCAAAATGTTTTTGTTTTTTAGTTTGTTTTTGTTTTGTTTTTTGTTTTTGTTTTTCCTTTGCAGCTCCATCTGCATCAGCACTCAACCATTTTCTTCCTGCTATATTCTCGGTTTTAGCAATTCTCGTCACCATTCTTCTGGTTACTTCCCAAATTATTTCCGTACAATTCAGTCATGATAATTTGGACACAAATACTGCTTAATATTTTTTTAAATCTCGCGGGAAACAACGAGAAGGCACGATAATAATCCAATAATATAGAATATTGTACAAATTCGACACCGAAAGAGTTCAAAAGTTCTTGAAAGTACAAACAACAACATGAAAGGACGAGGGTTACATTCCCGTTTATCGTTTAAAAAGTGGTTACCGGTCCACCGACTCCGTGACATTTCTCACCCCTGGCTTCTCTCATTATGACCCTACTGGGGACAAAGTCAACACTAGAATTGCCATTATCTCTGCAACTGCTTCTCAACCTCCTTCCAGCCTATCACCTAGGCAAGTTTACAATTTTCATGAGACATTCGGTCATCGTCTGGTTCTCTTGGAAGAGTAACTTATTGAAAAGCGAAGCGTTTGAGGGCCGAAAACATAATTTAGTTTTTGGATGGTAGGTTTATCAACAATGGTCGCTTGAATGAACAGCTTTGAATATGAGGACGTTAAAATGTCTGCCAGTGGTCAGCTGGACGTCGGTCAGATATTTTGTCCATGACAAAGGAATAAAAATGTGCTGATTCAAAGCAGAAAAACTTCTGGGTCAGTTGATGATAGTTTTCCCTATTGGCCAGTGTATGACATTCGACATTAACAAATAGTCACAGATTCCATACACACATACGCACACATATAACACACGGCAAGTATACGCACAGATGAGAGCAGGAGTAGCAATACTCACGCATTCATTACATTCAGGTGCGCACATACAAAATGTCATAAATACACATACATACGCATTCTTACAGGCTAAATAGCCACTCTTACATGCATTTCAGTAGCAATATATTTTATAAGCATTTCTTGCACATTGTATTTTTCTCACGGCGAAATACATGCTGTTATGTACATATAGTAAGTAGACATCACAGATTGAACAAATATATAACTAGAAGATAAGATTGTTTACAGCCAAAGGAACTAAGGTGAATATTATTTTTTTAAATGACATATTCCTTCTGGACGTAGGCAATCGTAGCTCTCCACGTATTCCTTTTCCTTATTATCTACGAATCGGCATGAATTTTGGAGGAACATAGGGAATTCGCTTCTTGTTACTATCTCTACAGTCAGAGATTTCCTTCTCCTAGACTAGTTACCACCCAAGGCTAGAGAGTCGTACCTACGCAACTATGTAACCCATAGCTGGAGTAATTAGTATTGCCTATATAAGAAGTTACTGAAAGATTTTTTTAAATAAAAGCGTTCAGTTGACATGTTTAGTAAAACCTAAGGATACCCATTCTACCCTGCTATTTAACTTACTTTTGGTGTAAATTTATTGCTTTTTGAATTCAGCTGTCAAAATCTGTAGTTTCACGTATATAACCAACGACTGTCATTGAATATTATCAGAGTACTGCTCAAACTACCAAAATGTCCGGTAATATAGATTTGATAGTGATAAATGCTTGTGAATCTTCTCGTGGGCATATACATATTTCCGTGTTGACTCTCCTTTCACATATATATATATATATATATATATATATATATATATATATATATATATATATATATAGAGAGAGAGAGAGAGAGACAGCATATCTTTATTCATGTATGTTTGGTTGAATAATCTAAACATGTTTTAACTATTATATTTTTTCCCTGGTACTTTCAATCTCATCCAAGATCATCTTCAGAGTTGAATTGATAAGACAAAGAAGTAATGTAACTGATAGTTGTGAATTTAAAAAAAAAATACCGTTATAGTCAATTTAAAAATTAACTGTCAAGAATACAATGCATGTAAGGGAGGTAACTTAATTTATATTTTTAATCACTAATGTTTTA